AATAAGGGTTCGTTTTGCATTCTACTTCCGTTTTCCTCGAAGCACTCAATATTCTCTTGGGAAAGGCCTGACCTTGAAAAACAGCACCGCTCTTTTTGCAAGAGCCTTGGGGCCCCAGCTCCTGGGGCTAACTGGCTTATTTACTGATCCCCCTCTACTTCTGTCTTCCAGTGAAGTTAGTGCTGGCAAAGGGGGCTGGATCATAGGTCGGGATGGTAACAGTCCTACATAACTATGGTATTGATTGGGTGCCAGATACAGTAGTAAGAAAGCACATTCTCCAGTTCAGCTGTCCCCCCCTCTTCTCTCCAATCTACAGGAAAGATGCAATGCAAGCCCGTTCCTATCAATGCACCTCAGTCCTGACCTGGGGGGAATCAGCACTGTGAGTCTCCATAGCCCATTCACTCTTAGGTCCCCCTCACTTGGGCCTGTCCATGTGATTTTTTGGGGGGAAGGGAAGGTGGTGGGGATGGGCTGGTGATATTGATACCTGTATACTAAGAACTGAACGGAGTCCATTAGGTCACATGGTAGGAATTTGTGGTTTTGGTAAGGACGCTCCGATTCAATCCCAAAGTAAATTTAAATGTAAAGAATTGCTGTCAGCGACTGGTTACAGAGCACAATCACTTAGAATCAGCTGAACTGTGTGTTATGCAGTTTGGATGCTCTACAACTTGTTATAAGGGGATTTGTGTTTCTAGATTATTACTGTATCAGGGATTATTAGTTGGTGTTTTATTAGGGAAAGAATACTGCCTATGTCAATCATTTTATTGAAAGGCTGTATCTGTGTCTTCCATGTACTTCCATAGCTACCTTCAAGACCCATGCCCAAGGAAAGAGATTAAGGGGGCAATAGGTGGGCTATTCTAGGAGCACCCCAAAACCTGTTTTTCAGGGTAACACACCAATGCCATGGAAAGACTCTTACTTGCCCTTAGGGAGCAGGTGAATATATTTTCCAAGTCCCTTCCAGTGAATGATAGAAATTCAGGCGGAAAAACTGAATATTAAAAAAGGAGAGCTGCCTCTGGCTAACCAAAGGAGTATTAGCATGGCGCTTGTCGAGCCCCTTACTGAACATCCCTGATACGTTATTCAGTAAAGAAGCACCCGTGCTGTCAGCTTGGTAGACTTGCCACATGGTGGCTCCCATTCTGAATTCTCTCAGGCAAGAGTCCCTGCAGCCACACTTGAAGTTTGAAGCTGTTTGGAATGAAAATGCCTTTGACCAGAGGTGATGCAGAAGGGGAGCGTAGCTTCAGTGATACGGACAGAGAGCTGAAAAGGCAGCAAGACTTTGATCGGGGACATGGAAAGTAAAACAATTCTAGGTTTAGAGGAGCAGAGGGCCTTGTTACAAAACCAGCTGAGAGCTGTGTGCTTTTACAAGCAATAGAAGAGGATAACCCGAGAGCACTGGCTGGTAACAATGCACATGGGGCTGTGCGGATGCCTGCACAAGGTAATGGCACCCAAAGTGCGGATTGTGACAGTTATCCAATTTCCTGTGATATCCTGGACAAAACTGACTGAATTAAGTTACACCTTATTGAATTAAGTTAAGTATTTTTGGAGTTCATTGTATTACAAATGCAAAGGAGTATGGATTATTGTGGGACTGTATGGAACTTCTTTAGGAGGAAGACAAGAGAGTCATGCAATCTCTGGGAAGTGTTGTGAGCTTCAAAAGACTATGCTGAACAACGTAGCAGACATGACTGATCTTTTGGGACAATCTCTGAGAAGTGGAATTCCTAGGAACTACTTAGGAGGAGGGGATTGCAGACTTCCCCCTACGGACTCAACCTCTGAAGCTTCGGAGGGGCGGGGGGGGGGGGTTGGCCTGCTGCTCACCTGTTACATTAGGGAAGTTCAAAGACAAACTGTGTAAAGGAGTAACTGACTTACTAATGAGTGTGCTTGTTCTGAGCGAAAGCTGTTATGAACATGTGACCACAGAAAACCCCCTGGGTGGAGCTTGAAGGACTGATCACCACCTTGAGTCCTGGTTGCAGCCGGGGTGAGCTCTGGTAAGCTTATTAGCATACACACAGGTTCTTTTATTGTTTTAATATCTTTTCTCTGTAATGCTTTTACCCTAAGGATCAATGTGTTTTTGTAGAATGAGCTGGGTGGTAACTTACCTGTGGTCAATTACACTGTTAACTCTCTCTGAGGAGAGAAGTGAAGCAGGCCTGCTTGGATAGTCTGTCTTTTGCTGGGGATATCACAACATAGTCTGGGAACTGTGCAGCCTGGAAGTACCCTGATCAGGAGGGAGAGACACATGGATCTCCACCCCAGAGAGGGGATAGGAGAGGAGCCTGGAGTAGGAACCCTGCCTGGACCTTAAAGGGGGAATACAGGGGCAATTGCCCTGAACTGTGACAAGAATATTCTAAGGCAGTGGCTCTCAACCTTTCCAGACTACTGTATCCCTTTCAGGAGTCTGATCTGTCTTGCACACCCCCAAGTTTCACCTCCCTTAAAAGCTACTTGCTAACAAAATCAGACAAACATACCAAAGTGTCACAGCACAATATTACTGGAAAATTGATTACTTTCTCATTTTTACCATATAATTATAAATCAATTGGAATATAAATATTGTACTTACATTTCAGTGTCTAGTCTATAGAGCAGTATAAACAAGTCATTGTCTGTATGAAATATTAGTTTGTACGGACTTCACTAATGCTTTTTATGTAGTCTGTTGTAAAACTAGGCAACTATCTAGATGAGTTGATGTACCCCCAGAAGATCTCTTCATACCCCCAGGGGCACATGTGCCTCTGGTTGAGAGCCACTGTCCTAAGAAATCCGTAATGTGACTGAGGGAAGCAAGCCAGAGCTGCGGTGATGGAGCAGGGCACAGTAGAAAGAACTGGGAGAGCGAGGCCTTGCTGGCTAGGAATCAACAGATCTGTGGTGGGACAGGTAAGAGAATCCCAAATGAGAGACTGATGTGTGAGGACATTTTACTAACGTCTATGTACAGGGAGACATCATGTTTCTGTACTACTGACTGTTATTTAACCCACACTGCAGTGACAAAAGCTTCATGGGGGACGTGAATGCTGTGATATCCCTGGAGACTGGTGTGAAATAAGAAAAAGATGTTTTAAATTAAACTGTTCGTCGTCAGCACGTCATTCTCAATCTCTAGCCAAGTAACTGGCAGAGTGGAGATCAGCCAAACCACAACAAGTCTTGGAACCGAGCAGTCTCCTATTAATCTGACTCGGGGATCAGATAAAGGTAGGCTCCAAAAAAGGGGAGAGACTGAGAACAGGAATTGATGGTGGGATGTCACTAATTCAGATGAATGCTCTTTAGGATCCTTACAGAAGTTCAGTGAGCACTGAAGTCATCATTTGAAACAAACACTTACTGCTGCCGATATCTGATTGATCAAGGTCTCTTCCTTAAAACACAGGGATGCCATTTCATCCAGCTGCTCTCGATGGGCTTGAATCACAACCTGCCTAATTAACATAACAAAAAAATAACGATGGTTACGTCGCTCCCCGTTCCACCTGTAACGATTGTTAGTGGGCTCTGACAAACTTCTAAGGAGAGGAAATTCCACAGATGGAGGGCTTCAGCTGGGAAAGCCCTGCCACTGAACATATTCAGGCAAGACCTTCATGTCGTGCACACTGATGTCACTCCATTGACTTCAGTGGCCTATGCCAATTTACATCAGCTGAAGAGCTGGCCTGGGGTATTTGAACAGGCTTCAGCTGCAAGCACTTCTCAGCTGGTCTTTGCTGTGATGATGGGGTACAAGAAAAGAAGAGTCTTCAACACCTGGAACTGAGTCTAGAAGTAAGCAAGAAGCCAGTGCAGAGACCTTAGCACAGAAGCTATGTATTTATGCTGGCCCACACCCCGAAGAAGGTTGAGCAGCTACCGTCTGCACAGGTCTGAGCCCCAAGGACAGTGGATTGCAGTAGTCTAGCCATGGATGACTAAGCAGGGAGTGGCCCACAGCTTCTTGGCTGGTCATTGATGGCACAGTGGCCCATAATGCCTCTTACCAGCTGGAATCCAGGAGCAAAAATGCTGCCCAGTAGGACTGACTGTGAACCATGCTGGTGAAAGTCAGGCACATGACCTTCAAGACACAGTGCAGACACCTCTATTAATTCCTCTAGGTGCTTCTCTCTGCTAGCAAGCACTGCTTCTGTCTGAAATGGGTTGGGTCACAGCCAGTTCATCTGGATCCATGGCTGTTAGATAATGGGAGGGCAACGTCTAGCTCAGAGGTGGGCAAACTACGGCCCATGCGCCACATCCGGACTGCGGGACTCTTCTGCCCGGTCCCTGAGCTCCTGGCGCAGGAGCTGTTCCCCCTCCCCCACCACTTCAGCTCACTGCGCCGCCAGCTTAATGCTCTGGGCGGCGGGGCTACAGCCTGACCCGATCTCTGTGCTGCGCGGTGGCGTGGCTGGCTCCAGCCAGGCAATGCGGCTGCCTGTCCTGGTGCTCTGGGCGGCGCGGCTGTAGTGCCGCCAGTCACCAGTGCTCCAGGCAGCATGGTAAGGGGGCAGGGAGCAAGGGGGGTTGGGAGTGGAGGGC